CCGCGCCAGCGCCCCACGTGGGCCCCCCAGCGCAAATTTGTCAGCTAATGGCGCAGGCGATTATCTGCGGGGCCGCTCAGTGTTGTGTGTCCCGCGGGCAGGGCCCGAGTTACAAGCGCCAGGAATCCAGACGGTGTTTGGAGAGGGGGCGGCGGGGGTGGCCGGTAATTAGTGTAAACCCTTTGTCTGCCTTTGATACGCTCAGCTCCAACGCGCCGCTCTTCCTTCGCCCGGAGCCCGGCGCCGAGGGGGCCGGACCCTGGCTTTGCTGCCGCGACCTGGGTCTCGCGGGCCTGTGCCCTGCGCCCCGAGTGGCGTCCGGCCCGGCTCGCAGTGACCGCGCCCCTACCCCAGGTCGGACCAGCGAGATGACGCGGAGCCCTGCGTTGCTGCTGCTGCTGCCACCGCTGCTGCTGGGGGCCCTCACGCCGGCGGACGCCGCGCGAGGTGAGTCCTGACGCCCGGTCTGGCGCCCTGGCCTCTGCAGCGCCGCCCCTTTCCCGCCAGCCCTGAACCCTGCCACAGTGCCCGCCTGGCACGCGCCACCCTCCTTGTCCAGGCCCCCATCCCTGGAGGGCCCCTTCGTGCGCAGTGTTGCCCACTTCCCATGCCTCCATCTCACTCATGAGTTTATCCAGCTCACACTCGGGTACCCCCAACTCATCCTCCTTGCCAGGTCACCTAAATTTAGGACCCCAGACTCACTTGTTTCGTTGACTAGGTGTGCTCTTGCCCAAGTCCCTTCCAGGACACGCTCATAGACTTGCATACACATACTTTTCGGGTGCGTATTTCTGTGGTGGGAAGCTGGTCACTCTGGGTTTTTTTTGTGAACAGTTTATGGCCACAGTGAACCTGAGTCCCTGGGAACCCGCAGATACCCACACAGTGGCCAGAAGAGTATAGGGAGCGTTAATGACATCTTGGTGTCCAGAGCTCACCGTGACCCAGCCTCAGCTGACCCAGCTCTGGGCCCCAACCCTGGTTAACCACTGCAGGCTGCTCAGCATAGAGGCTGGGTCCCCAGGGCATGGGGCATCACTGCACAGTGAGAGTTAGTCTCAGAGGAAGACACTTTACCACAGACCTCAAGGCCACACCCCATTTTGTTGTAGCATAGGCACACTATGGCTTGGGCACAGCCTCTTCCATCTCATTTCCTCTGCCTCCTGGACCCAGCCCCAGCAAAGAGTATCCATAGTTGAGGAGTGATGCCTGTGGACTTTTTGCCCTCAATGTTCCAGTGTCCGGAGCTACATTTGCCACCTATATGGTTAGGTAGGACCCATGGCCAGGCGGGACCAATGGTCAGGCTGTCCCTTGGGGTGTGTTGACCACTTAGGCTTGTCCTTGCTCTAAACCAGTCCTGTGAGGCTACACATCTCCTCCCCCCCCCCCCCCCCCCCCCCCCCCCTTCTCTCTCTTCAAGCTGATCCTTTATGGACTCTTCCTCCTACTAAGTGATGGTCACCCCAACCGGGCCTTATATGGCCACAATCGGTGTTGGGCGGCGGCGGGCGGCGGCCCAGGTGGGCCTTATGCCACTATACCACCCCTCCCCCCTCTGCCTGGGGACTGGCTGGCTGGAGGGTGGGGGCTGTCCAGGCACAGCTGGGTTGGGCAGTGTCCTGGGCATGCGGGCACTTGGGCCATGCCGGGCAAGTCCCCTCCCTGTTGCCAGTGGCCCAAGCTTTGATTCCTCTTTTATCTGCTTGGACGCCCCCATCCCTGCACCTGACTGCTCTCTGGCCACTCAGCCAGAGAGGCTCTGAAGGCCTCTGCTCTACCACAGTCACTGACTGGACCTTGAGACTGATTGATGAGTAGCAGTGGGCAAGCAGCACCCTGTCTTTTTGTTGAAGGCCCTAGAGGGGCCACTCCTTCCACCCTTGTCCCCCTTGGGCACAGCTTTGTGGCTGTGCCTCATATGTGGCCCTGGCTGTGCTAGTGAAGGCCCCTGGCCAGCACTCGGGAGCCAGAGAAGGCCACCGTCCAAGGGCAAGGGCCCTGTGGTTGGGGTGGAAGAACATGTTTCCTAAATTGTGCTGACTTCTCCTCCAGGCACAGCCTGGATAGGAGGGACAAAGTATTCCAATGCATTATTTCTCTGGTGGTTCTCCCTCGAGCAGGCCCAGTTTCGACCTTCAGTTGAGTCAGAGAACCGTGTGGAGACAGTCTGGGCTGTTTTGAAAGCCATTTCCCTAGGGTGTCACAGTTTCTGGAATCTGTATCTCTCTAGATTCGGATCATATTTTAAAAGTTCCCCTTTGCCCAAAGTTTCACAATCTTGGTGAATTTGCCTTAAGATATTTTTTTTCAAATTAGAAAAAAAAGATAGGATTTGGTTTTCTCTGTTCTGTCTTATTTCTCAATGAGAATGTGAGAGGTTCAGAATGAAATGCCTTTCTCAAAGATAAGTCTGACAAGATTGGGCTTTCCTGGCAGGACTTTTGTAAGGATGGCTTAGGGATCAGTCTTCCAGCAGCCAGCCCAGGTTTCTCTCCTGTCTTCTGGACCTAGCCTCTGTGTTTGGAGTGAGTGGCCCTGACCCACAGTCAGGGTGCCCGCCATGGCAGTCCAGTGCCATAGGGACAGCGTGGTCTTAGAAATTTGCCTTGGTTGCTGTGCTGTGTACAACAAGGGTCTGTGTGTGATGCAGTAGAGACGATGGCTGGACATGTGTGTGGCACTGACCTTGGCCCTTGGCCAGGCTGTAGGAGGTTCCTTTTCTCCACAGGTCATGGCTGACCAGCATGCGACTGGGGTGAAGTAGATGTGCAGGAGCCAGGCCCAACCCCTGAGAGGTAGAGAGATGTAGACCAGCCTCTCATTCATGTCTGGGGCCCCACTCCTGGAAGGGAAAATAAATCACTGTCCCCCTGGGGGTGGGGAGGGAGCTGTGAACAAAGTCGCCTTTGGCTAGGCCTGGAAATCCAGACCACAGGCTCCTTTATCCTTTGTGCAGGATCAATGGGCCTCTGGGCTCTCAGAGTTGCCTTTCAGCCAGCCTGCCCTGTGCTGTGGCCCTTACTAGGGAAATGTTGGTTTTTCCCCAGCTGAGGCCTCCAGCCTCTGGCCTGCCTGGCCCTGGCTCAGTCTTTGCTGGTAGGACTAGGGGCAGTTGGCTGTGGCCCCACAGGCTTGTCCCCTCTGCTGGCTACCTGCCCTCTGTACAGTCTAGGCCTGCTACTTGGCCTATAGTGGCCTTTTCTTCCCTATTGTGCCCTGTCTGGTGACTCCGTCCTGTTGTGTCCACATGACAGCCAGAGTGCATAGAGGGAAAGGTATGTCTGGGTAGCTGTTCCCATGCTTCATTGGCACCCTCCTCTGCCTGCTACCTGTTCTTCCAAATAGTGTCCTGCTTAACTTCAAGGTGGAGGAGGACAGTGGACTCCTGGGAGGGGGAAGAGCCCCGAGTTGGGATGCAGGCAGAGTAGGCCCACGGTGCAGGCTGGGTAGGAGGTGCCTGCCACTGGGCAGCTGTTGAAAGCAAGAGCTTTCTACTGGGCAGTCAGTACTACTTTCCATCAGGAGTTTTGTTTTTTGAGAAGTTTATACAAGCTGCCCGGGAGCTACAGAACAAGTGATCTGCCTCCAGTAGTAGGTGGAAAGTGAGCTTTGTCCTGCCTTGACTCAAGTGTGTAGGGCTGGCTGGCAGGGAAGGTCTAGTCCTCAGTGACTATCAGGGTGCCTCTTATGAACTCAGGTTTCTTGTCTAAGTTCACCTTGCCAGAGCCTTCAGGCCTGCCCTCTGTGTCCTTGCAGTCTATTTTTCACCCCCGATGGTAGCTGTGTAATTTGTGCTACATAACTGTGCCCTCTGGCCTCCCAGGGGTCTAGGGAGCCCCCATACCCTTAGCCCTGTCCCTGAAGAAGTCTGTGTATGGGCAGTGCTAATGGGCTGTCAGCTGGTTGTGCCTGGGCTGCTTGGATTGGACTGTCCCAACTTCTCCTCAGCCCCTGTCTGGAGTGGACCTTAACACCTGACTTCTGGAAACAGCCTTGTTGACAGTTCTGAGGTGCCAGGGGATTCCAGGATCAGAGTAAGCCTCGTGGAATAGGCAAGGCCCCTCTGGGTAGCCCTGATAGTGGACTTGAGGCTAAGCTTTGGCTCATCGGGCTAGTGTTTGTGAGATGAGAGAAGGTGCTGGATGTCCAGGTGAACTCCTTGGGTGGGGCCTCAGGCAGCCACCTTCTGTGAATGGTGTGTGTATGGCTCCTCCAGTCCAGATCTCATCTGATGGCACTGTGTTAGCCTTGATGGGTCAAGGAGTGTCCAGGAGCTAGCAATATACAAATGTGCCAGCTGAGGTTTTCAGAAGGAGGTGTAACCTAGGGAACCAAGCAGTGTCTCCAGAGAACCCCCTCCCCCACATCCTGTTGGCTTGCTACTGGCCACTACTGGTCAACAGGCAAGCTACCTATGACAGGCAGCTTGTTGGAGCATGGATGCCCTTTGAGGTCCCCAGATGACCTATGGGTCCTATCAATCCCACTACAGAGCCTGTAGATATGGCCCTTGGGGGCCCTCAGTTTGTGTGCGCACGCATGCGCACATGTATGTTTAAGCACCCTCCAGGATTTTGACCTCAGGACCAGACAGGAGACTGGCTCCCAACACCTGATGGGCAGATGGGGCCTATGACTGTTAACTGTATTTTTTTTGCTGGGAGACATCCCTGCTGTTTCATGGGCCTCCTAGCTTTTGCTGGCCTTGAAAGGCTAGTTCTGGAGAGTTCACCTATCTCTATTCTGGGACCCAACTGTGGGTTCTGGGGTATATGCCTCCTCACAGCCAGGGGCCAGGGTGGTGCCTTGGTGGGGTCATAGAAGGCTCACCACCTGGTAGTCACCACCATTGGGCAGGTGCCTTGGGACCCCATCTGGCTTGGCACTTGCTGTGTTCCCTCCTAGGGACATGGACTGGGATATCCAGAGGCCAGATGAGCCTATTGTACCCCTTTGTAGTTGGGGCTCACTTTATCCTCTGAGTCCCCTGCATAGACACTTTGCATCTCTGGGTTGGGTAGGGGGGCTTTACTCCTAGCTAGCTGCCTTCATCCTATAGCCAGGCCTATTGCATGGCTAGAGAATTCCTTCACACTGGAAATTCCTAGGGCCATGCAGGCCTCATCAGGGCTGAACTGGCCAGATGGTTCCCACACATTACACTCTGTGTCCAGGGTCACCTGCCAGCCAGTGCTCAGACAAGCCCTTTTAAGGAGGGGAGCTCAGGTCAGCAGGCCTAGAAACCCAGCTTTCAGATACACCTGCCCTACTTTTCAGACTTCAGGTAGGCCTGGCCCTGAAGTGCTTGGCATCTCCCTCTAGTGCCAGCCAGGCATCTAGACCTTGATAATGACCACATCTTTCAGGGTAAGGACTCCACACAAGCCATACCTCCTACAGAAGGCCCTCATGCCATCCCCTTGAATCGATGTTCAGTCAGACCCTACTGGAGCTATATGAGTTCTTCAGAAGTATGGGACATGATTGGCCTGGCTATAGAGATCATGGAGAGAATAGTGCTGGCTGGTATAGCTCTCTCCCAAACCTGCAGCTTCAAGGCCATGAGAACTTGAGTGTGGTTCCAGAAAATGGGATTAAAACCTCTCAACTGGTCTCTTGAGGTCTGGCCTTTGTCCCCTGTAGTTACATAGAGTGTGTATATGTGTACATATGGCATACATTAGCTTACACTCTCTGTACTCAGGTGTGGTCCTTATGGGTGGACTATAGGAACAGGAGGAAGAGAAGGAGGCATCAAGATCTGGGCCCACAACCCCAATGTTAAATATCCACATTACTCATCAGAGGAGCAGGAGTACATCCAATCTTCATTTTACCTGTGGCTACCTGCTCCTAGCCATCAGGATCTGGCGCCTTGAGCTCCCTGAAAGAGCCAGCCTGGGTGGACTGGCAGAAGGGGCCCTATTGGAGGTCTAGGTATGGCTGTTGGCCTCAGCCGCTGCCCAGAACTGTCCTCCGCACAGCTATCCTCTGAGGCAGAGTAGGGGCAGAGATATCCCCGTTGCCTATGAGCTTGAAGTTTTGCCTTAGTCTCCTCACTGGCTGAGTGTGCTGGATGGCGGTTCAGGTAGAACAAAGGGGGCTTATGTTTCCTAGGTTAAATATAGAGTTGAAGCAGCCATGTCATGGCCAAAATTCTTAGGAGTCTGGGGATTGGACTTTCTGCTGGGGGGCCCCTTATGTGGGTCTCTGTAACAGGCTTGGGGGCCCAGCTTAGCAGTGGGGTGCAATGGAGCCTGGGTGGGGGCAGGGCTTGCAGGGTACTGTTTGCTTTAGGATAAGGCTGGCTCCTCTGGCCAGCCTGTCGCCAGTCTGTCCCCCAGCAGTATGTGCAGGCCGACTCCAAAGGCCAAACTTCCGGCCATCTGGCGGTCATTCAGCCCTATCCCTCATTTCAGCAGCGGCCATGGCAGGGCTCCTGCCTCTGGGTGCCCCTTCCCCCCAGATGTCTCTTGCCTCTGCCCAGGGGACCTCCTCTTTAGTGTAGGGTGATGGATCAGCCTGGCCTTGGGGCATTCCCCAGGTATGCCCCCCTCCCCAAACCCCTCCAGGCAGCTGAGTGCATATATATGTGCTTGCATATGTGTGAGTCTGTCTGGAAGGCCCCAAACAACCAGGCTGGCTGGGGGCTGCTGGGCTACGCAGGGCCTTGGCCACTTATCGACCTGCAGCCTGGGAGGCCCTGTGAGTGGTGGGATTTCTGACAATGACAGGTGGTGGGCAGGGTTTGCTTGGGGATGGGGCTGGGACCTAGGGAAGGCTGGGGAGGGGTGTCTCTGGAGGCCCTTGTGTTGTAGGCCCAGCAGTCCCCTCCACTGTAAGCAGAATACAAAGTGGGTGGGGAGGTTGGAACAACTGGGCTTGGACTGCCCTGCTGCCTTGGGTGGTCCACGGAGGGAGGCAAGATTAGGAGAAAGGTGGGCTAACAGTACCTTTCCAACCTCTACTCTTTCCCTTTCCCAGGCAGCCATGGTGGGGAGGGGGCTGCTGTTGAGACCTCAGCTGGTACGAGCCTGGGGCCAAGGGCAGAGATAAGGGGATCTGAGTTGAGGGGGAGATGTGGGTTGGAAAAGAGGGTCTCAGAAAAATGGGCCATGTAGGTACAAGTGGGGTTGGGAGGATCCCTCTTCCATGACCCCTGTCATGGCTGAGCGGGGGAGGTCCTCTGGAATCTTACTGGGAGACCTGCCCTCCCCGCCTTAGGCTGCCTGTCCTTTAGTCTTTGTGGAGCCCACCTTAGTACCCGAGTGAGTCCTGAGAGGGAGGTGGGCCCTGGGAGCTGGAAAGCAGCCTCTAGGCATCTGAAGACACAGAAGCACACTGCCTAGGGTGCAAGGCGGCTACATAAATAGGGTAATTGCATGCTGAGGAAGTACCAGCTGGTTATAGAAAACACATGCGCCCTCGGGCCCCATCCAACGTCATCGTGGAGCTTGCACCCACTGCCTGTTGGCACCTCTGTTCTCAGCTAGCCTTGAGTGCTCTGCCCACAACCATCCTGGCCATGGTTAGTTGACATGCTGGATAGAGGCCCATCACTGACAGACTAAAGGTATATCCTGGGACTGGCCAGGGCCCAGTAGCTGCCTCTCCTTGTTCAGAGGTGGCTCTGTTACAGTCTTCTGGTGCAATGACTGCCGTTCCCACCTGCTCAGCTTCCCTTCTCTGAACACTTCCTACCTGCGGCCTTACTCCTTTCTGATGTCTGCAAATTCTGTGCACTCTGAACCCACTCTTGACCCAGGTGGCCACTTTCTGCCTGCCAGGCCTGGTCATACCCCTGTCCTTTCACTCAGTCCAGAGAGACTTTGCTGGGTTGGGGCCAGGAAGGATGCTCAGTGTGGGCTGGTGAGGTTGAGAGTATGTGCTGACGAGGAGTGTGAAGCCCAGGAATTAGCCTGTTCCTAGAAGGTAGGCTGCTTTATAGGACATGGGCCTCTCGTGGGCCCCCTCCTGTGGGCATCCTGTAGGGGGCTGGTTTCCAGGGCTAGGCCACCTCCCAGGTGTGGCCTAGAGACTATCAGCCACATAGATACGATCCAGAGGGTTCTTCCTTATGGGTCAGATTCCCTGAGTTGATCCAGGTGAGGTCCCAGTGCCTGTGCCCAGTCCTTGCTCACCCTGCATATACTGGGCAGCTTCTTAAGGCCTAACCCTCTGGGCACTTGCTCTTTGACCCCATGACCTTGGAATTGTGCCCCTGTGAGGTCCAGCTACCTGGCAGGCCATGGTACCTGGGGCTGGCAGACAGCCTAGGGCAGATAGATGCCGTCCATGAACTCAGGCACAGAGCACACAGACAGGACAGCCGGTCATACACATGCTAGGGCATCCTCGCCGGTGGTAGGGCACCCTCGCTGGTGGGCATATATGGAACTGAGTGCTGGCACACACCTAGGTGGCTTCTCCTCCTGACTCATTTGCATCAGACAGGTGGGACTGGCTCTCCTTTGCTCAGGCCTGACAGGTTTGGGATGACAGTGGGTAGGTTGTGGGAAGTAGCACTTTTTTTGATACGTATGTTTTTGTTGTTTGTTTGTTTGAGACAGGATCTCCCTGTAGCCCCACATGGCCTGGAACTCACCATGGCCTTTCTCACAGAGATTCTCCTACCTCTGCCTCCAGAGTACGCTACCACACTTAGCGGGGACACACACAGCATTAACCAAAGTTGAGGCAGAGACCAGAGGAGACATAAGCTATCTGTGAGGCAGTGTGTGCAGGCAAGAAGGACCAGCCAAGAACCTCTCCTGCTGCCCTGACCCTGAGGCCCCATCCTTTTTGATCAGGGGACATGGTTCCCTCTAGTGAGACCAAGAGATGTCCATTTTCTTGATTTATACTTTTTAAAGGATTAAGGCTATGTTCTGCCCCTCTGGGCTCTCCATCTTCCTTCTCAAGGAGGCTGCCTGACCTGGGGACTTACCATCCAGGTGCTTGGGATGTACATGGTGGGGTATGGTGTGGTTGGAGAGCAGGGTTTGTGCATGGGGTCTCCTCTGCCTCACCAGGCTGGCTCCCCGAGTAGTGTCCAGGTGGGGTTCCCAGTACCTATACCCAACCTTTGCTGTCTCATGTGCTCCCCCAACTGAGTCCTCTAACTCTCGCAGGACCCCCAAGAATGGCAGACAAGGTGGTTCCATGGCAGGTGGCCCGGCTGGGCCGTACTGTGAGGCTGCAATGCCCAGTGGAGGGGGATCCACCACCGCTGACCATGTGGACCAAAGATGGCCGTACAATCCACAGCGGCTGGAGCCGCTTTCGTGTGCTGCCCCAGGGGCTGAAGGTGAAGGAGGTGGAGGCCGAGGACGCAGGCGTGTATGTGTGCAAGGCCACCAACGGTTTTGGCAGCCTCAGCGTCAACTATACGCTCATCGTGATGGGTCAGTCAGTGTGTGAGTCAGTTGTGGTGGGGCCGGGTTTGGCCGGTACAGGGTGTGGAGCGGGCATACCTGGGGTTCCTACCCTGCTTGCTCAGCCTTCACTGGGCACATCACGTCATGGATGGGACCAAGGGGCCCTATCTGTCCCCACCCCTAGCCTGGGCCTTAGGGTAGCCTAGACCTTCTCTGCAACCAGTCCAGCCTTGGGCCTTTCTTTCCAGGCATTAGGTGTGGGTATGGGGGTCCTCTGGGCAGTGGTCCCACTGAAGAGCTGCTGGGTCAGATAGGGTAGGGAGGGCCAAGTACTTGGCAAGGCACGCCTTGGCGGCCATGACTTTGAGGCTCAGGTTTCAGAGTTCAGAGGGGCCGCTAGAAGTGAATGGCCTCTATTCTCTTCTGTCCTGAGGCCCAGTCACTGAGGAATGGGCAGGTGTCTCTGGTGATGCACCCTCCACATGTTGGTACCAGGCGTGGCCCACCTTCTTTGCCGGGCTCCCCACCGTGGGTTCCTGGTACCCTGTTACTCTCTTTGCAATGGAAGTTTAGGGTAGTAGCCTAGGACAGTCTTGTCCTTGATCCCAGACTGGGTGGAAGAAGCAGCTACCAGGGGGCATCCCTTACCATTCCTGCCCTCCCCCTCCCCCCACTGCTCAATGCAGGCCTCAAGGTCTTCTCTGGGTTGTGGAATGGGAATATTACGGCTGTCCATCCTCCTCTCCACCCCCCGTCCTTTCAAAGAGGATGATGACCAGGCGGTATGTGAGCCATGTCTCTGCACCAAGCCCTCGGCCCCTTGATGTGGGCTAGGGTTACTGCAGCTGCTGGCTGGGCCTGGCCCCCTCCTCTCCTGGGCCTTGTAGACCCCCCGGAGCTGGGGTGAGGGACAGCCCTCCAGTCCCACCATGCCTATTGGGGTCACCTACACCCGGGGAGGGGACTGGAAAGCAGCCCTTGCCCAGCTGTCCCTGGATCCTGATATGTGGGTGTGTCCATGGCCTCAGCTTGGGTTCTAGGGCTGTCTCAGCCAGGCCATGCTGGGCGTTGGTGAGGGGCTCCCCTGCACTCCTCACCTGGCCTCCTGCTGGCCTCTTTCCCTGCAGATGATGTTAGTCCAGGGAAGGAGAGCCCTGGGCCAGGCAGCTCCTCTGGGGGCCAGGAGGACCCAGCCAGCCAACAGTGGGGTAAGCATGGGATAGGGGCCTCTTTGTGCCTGGGGCAGGGCACTGGCTATCCCGACAACCCACAGACCCTTTCTCACTAACCTTGATGCCACCCTGCCGCACAGCGCGGCCCCGCTTCACACAGCCCTCCAAGATGAGGCGCCGAGTGATTGCACGGCCTGTGGGCAGTTCTGTGCGGCTCAAGTGTGTGGCCAGTGGGTACCCACGGCCTGATATCACATGGATGAAGGACGACCAGGCCTTGACACGCCCAGAGGCCAGTGAGCATAGGAAGAAGAAGTGGACTCTAAGCCTCAAGAACCTGCGGCCTGAAGATAGCGGCAAGTACACATGCCGTGTATCCAACAGGGCGGGTGCCATCAATGCCACCTACAAAGTGGATGTGATCCGTGAGTGATGGGTCTCGGGGTGGAGCAGGGTTCTGCAGTGTCCAGAGCTGTGCTGAGTTGCTTGTTTATCCCTGCTGCAGAGCGGACCCGATCCAAGCCAGTGCTTACAGGGACACACCCTGTGAACACAACAGTGGACTTCGGCGGGACAACATCCTTCCAGTGCAAGGTGCGCAGCGACGTGAAGCCTGTGATCCAGTGGCTAAAGAGGGTGGAGTACGGCTCCGAGGGCCGCCACAACTCCACCATCGATGTGGGTGGCCAGAAGTTTGTGGTGCTGCCCACAGGCGATGTGTGGTCACGGCCTGATGGCTCCTACCTCAACAAGCTGCTCATCTCTCGGGCCCGTCAGGATGATGCTGGCATGTACATCTGCCTGGGTGCCAACACTATGGGCTACAGTTTCCGTAGTGCCTTCCTCACCGTATTGCCAGGTGTGTGGGCCACCCGCCCATACCCACTCTCAGTCCCTACCACTGGTCTGGGCTCTCCTGGGGACCCCCACAGTCCAGCTGGCAGGTGGGGGCTCCCTCTCTCTGCCCTTCCCTTGTAGGCCATCCTTTCCTCACAGATAGTCCAGGGGTGTCGTCCATGCAGTCCATACACGGGCCGATTGTCTGAATGTGCAATTCCATTCCCTCCTCCACTCCTTTTCTTGGTGTCTGTTGCAGACCCCAAACCTCCAGGGCCTCCTGTGGCCCCTTCGTCCTCAACCACAAGCCTGCCGTGGCCTGTGGTCATCGGCATCCCGGCTGGTGCTGTCTTCATCCTAGGCACCATGCTGCTATGGCTCTGTCAGGCCAAGAAGAAGCCATGTGCCCCTGCATCTACGCTCCCTGTGCCTGGGCATCGCCTTCCAGGGACAGCCCGAGACCGCAGCGGGGACAAGGACCTGCCCTCATTAGCTGTGGGGCTGTGTGAGGAACATGGATCTTCCATGGCCCCCCAGCACCTCCTGGCCTCTGGCTCGGCTGCCGGCCCCAAACTGTACCCCAAGTTGTACACAGATGTGCACACACACACACATACACATGCACACACACACTCCCATGTGGAGGGCAAGGTTCATCAGCACCAGCATGTCCACTATCAGTGCTAAATGCAGCCTCTCCTCAAGCACTGTGTTCTGAGGTGGGTGTATGAGAACCAAGGCAACAGGCTAGGAGGATGGAGAATGATTGAGGGAGAGCACCCTAGGGTGCCCCACGGTAGGCACTCATATGTTTGGCTGTCTAGATGGACATACTGCCAGATGGACACACAGACACACACACACACAAGCTAAGAAGCCTTCAGGAAGATTTGTCAGTTGTGACTTTTGCAGTGACATGTAGCAATGGCTAGTTGAAGGAATCTCCCTTGAGTCATGGTGGCCATGGCCTCTCCCCAACCCCTGCCCACTTGTGTCTTTGCCTGGCCTTGGTGGCTACCTTTGCCTCTGCCTGCCCTGGGTGTCCAGGAGCCCACCAGCACCCTGACTGGTGTAGGCATTGGGGCCAGGCCTAGAGGCTCCAGCCACCCTCCTGTTGCCAGAAAAAAAAAGGCCTCAATATTTATATTTAAGAAGTGAAATAATATTAATAATGATGGAAGGAGGGCTGGGCCACAGGACTCCGGCCTGTTCTGGGGCCTAGGGCCTGCCTGGTTTTGTGGCTACATTGGGTGTCCTTATCCCCTTGGGGCAAGGTATCCCCCCTCCACCCATGGTTGCCTGGCCTCTGTAATTTTATATAGAGTTTGAGCTGAAGCCTCTTATATTTAATTTATTTTGTTAAATCTGAAAGTACCTCCTTTTCCTCACTGTGGTGTTTTTATCTGGGTTTGATCTGTGTATCTGCCAGTGTACACACACGTGTATACTTTTGTACCTATGCATAACCATGTATACACATGTACTGGTGTGTATATGTGTGCATACATGTGGTGGCTTGCATACATATACATATGTGCTGATGCTATGCTTATATGTCTTCCCCGTAGGGAAGCTCCTGCAGGTCCTTTGCTGGGCCTGAGGCTTGGGGTTCCCCCAGGTTTTGTCTTTTGTGGGACCTCAGGTCTTTGAGCCTCATGGTATACCAAGAGTGGCCGTAACTGGTGTCAGGTGTGCAGGCACCACTCTAGGGGCTGTTGGAAGTGCTTCCCTACACACCTGACAGTGGTATCCCTGCCATTCTGTGCATGTGCCTGTCCACAGCTGAGTACCTCCTTCCCCTGGTTTCATTTCATGTGACTTTGACAGAGCAGCTGCTTGGAACTGGGGTAGGCCAGACCCAGGTCACAGTAACTTTGTCCTCAGGACTCTGTCAGGCTGTCCTCCCAGCTACTCCTATGATGATGTGACAGTTGTTCTTGTTAGGGAAACAGGCTCCAATTCACCTGGCCATATTGGAGTCTGGGATGTCTGTATAGCTCAGTAGTAGAGTGCTTGTCTAATGTAAAGCTTTGGATTCGATCCCCAGTCACATACACACACACGCACACACACACACACACACACACACACCAGGCTCCAATTCACCTGGCCATATTGGAGTCTGGGATGTCTGTATAGCTCAGTAGTAGAGTGCTTGTCTAATGTAAAGCTTTGGATTCAATCCCCAGTCACATACACACACACACGCACACACACACACACACGCCATGAAGATCCCTCATGTACAATTAAGAACATGGTGAGAGAAGGCTGCAGTGTCACTGATGTTCAGGGTCCTGCCATGGTTCCAAGAGCCTTTCCCTGAGAATAATCACCCAGTCAGGCATCCATAGACAAGTGGCCACTTAGTGTCACCAAGGTGTCTCCCCAGATAGGACCCTCAGGATTAGGGCTGGCTCCTCTGCACATACCTTCCATCACCACTAGGACCCCCTCATATAGAACAGCTTCTATACTTCAGCCTCCTCAGGCTGGTCTGGGCACAAGCTAGGTGGAGATGACAAGACCGTCTCTGGTTACCAAGGTATTGTGTGCCAGGCCCACAGCTGGTGATGGACAGATGTTCCCCAGACAGGATGGTTCTGTACCTGGTCAAGTTCCAGTCTGGAGGCAGGGATTGGGAAGAGGAGAGTCCTCAGGCAGTAGGCCATCTGTGCAATACAGATACATTGCCCAAGAGAGCCAGCAGAGGCTGTATCCTGAGGGTTCAGAACTTCTGAGGGAGATGAGACTTCTGAGCTGCTATCTGTGGGTCAAGGTCAAGAGCCACCCATTGTGGAGCGAGAGGCAGCCCTTCATCCCCTGCTTCTTGTCTGACCAGGTGCTGCCTCGTGAACAAAATGGTCCTGGGGAGAGTGAGTGAAGTGTCTGGCTGGGCGTGGGGTCCCAAGGAAGATAAAACCTACTGCCCCTACAGGGTCCCTGGGGCTCAGAGCCCCTTGTCCTGCAGCCCCTCTGGCTTCCCCAGCTGTGAGCCTCTAGAGGTGTCTGCTGGTCACCCTACCCTGTGCCCCAGTTGCATTGACACATTTCTGAGGATGAAATCATTGTCTTCTCTTCCCCGCATGTGCTGGTGATGGTTGGCACTAGGTGGCCTGTGTGCTTTGAGTTTATGAGGGAAGCTAGGCTGAGGCAGGAGACAACTGCTTTTGAGGGTAACCTGACAGGAGTATCTAAAAGATAGTTCTTTGAACCCTGGCCTTGCTGCTAGGAGGCTCCTGTCTGTCCACCTATACAACATATTGCTGGCTCCTAAAACTCGAGTCACCCAGACTCTGCTCCCACCACCCAGGCCTAGAGGGGGTGGACACTTGCTGAGTATGGGGTGCTTCTGGGAGCTGGAGGCAAGAGCATTGCAGGGCTGGGGGAGCTGTGTGTTCAGAAAGAAGGAACCTGAAGCAGCTGTCACCTGCCCACTGCTACCCCTACACATGGACAAGGCCAGTCCCCCAAGTGCCCATGGCCACCATGAGAAGGTCACTGAACAGCACCAGGTCATTAGAATGGGGTTAGTGCACATGTCTTTGGTTTCCCAGCTCTCCCTGCTTAAGAGATTGGGAAGGGTCCCTGCTATGTTCTTGGGGTGATCCCCAGGCCAGGCCAGGTATAGTGGCTCCTGAGGGCCATGTAGGAGGAGACAATAGTGTCTTGGGTGAGGCTTAGTTGGGTGGTAGATGCATGAGGGGTACGGTGAGGAACCAGGTGGGGAACCAGGCCGATCATCTGACCCATCTAGTCAGCGATAAACTGGTTCACTGGGAAGGCCGGCAAACTTGAAAGGCTGGCCCAGGCTCTGACACCCTTGGGTGTGACACCCCTCCCTCCCCCAGCTTCAAAGGATGTCCGCGAGCTGTCCTGCAGCTGTCCCTGAGGGGCGGAGGGCGGGGGGCTGAGGCTGATGCCCAGGGCAGGGTGGTAGCACAAAGCGGAGATGAGAGGGACGGGCCGGCCCCACCCTGCAGTCAGAAGGCCTGGCTGAAGATCAGAGCCTTTCCCGGGGGCCACAAAGGACCTAGGACACAGAAGAGGGGCATAGGGCGGGGACACCTCTACAGCACAGACTTGGCTATGACACCAGTCAGAGACCAGCAGTGCTCCCTTGATCTCCCAAGCTGTTCAAGGCTGGGCCAAGCTGTAGCCAAGCTGTTTTTCAGGGCTCAGAGATAGAACCAAAGACACTCCAAGGCAGATGTGTAGGGAGCTGGGCTTCCAGGGATGGCCTACGATGTGGGTTCAGTCCCCCCACCACAGTGGGTGCCATCATCCTATGCAAAGTGCTTCTTGTGCCCTGGAATGAGGAGCTCAGTTGAGCCTCACAATACAGAGGCTAAGGGTACTCAGCCCAGGAGTGGCTAAGTCCTTTGAGGATCTATGTTCCTGGGGATGCAGGGTCGCAATGGGGGCCTCTCTCAGCTCTATGGAGACCCAAATATAGGGTCATTTGGCCACAGCTGAGACTAACTAAGGCCCTGGCTAGTCATCACTTGATTCCTGTGCTGGCTGATCCAGTACCAAGGGACCCTGTGGTGAACTTGACTGGGACAGCTAGCTCCAGGTGTGCAGGGGTCCTCAGTGAAAGAATAGAAAATCCCTGAGAGGGGCCACCTTGGCATGGTGAAGAGGGGGCTCTAGTGGAACTTGTCTGACAGGGCCTGTTTGAAGCAGGAGCGGATACTAACCTGGTCCCTCTGACTGGCCTGGCAAGATTGTACAACTCATACCTAGAACTTGGTGACCCTTCATTGGGGTCCTGGTCAGCCTGCAGACCACCCCAAGGGCCCTCAAGGATCCGCCTGGAGTGGTTGACACCCATGTGAAATGTGTGGCCTCACCTCACCCCATGGTGGGCCACAGTTATCTTCCTGCTTCAGACCTCGGTCAGACCCCAGTTCTGCACCCCTCCAAGCCAGCACTTGCCTAGGCAAGCTTGCTGCGAAGCCAGACCTTGGTTATCCTATCTCAACCCTCCCTTGTGTTTTGGTTTATTAGCTTTAGGCTTTAATAGTCAAGCGATCTCTTCAGCCCTCTCAACCCTCCCTATTCAGGTCACTCTACAGCCCTGGCACTTCACAGGGGTCTGACCCCATCGGGGCTCTGGCCTCCACAACCCCACATGCCAGGGCTCACGTGGCTGTTCATGCTGTCCACCTATCAGGCCCCACTTGGGGCATCAATAGCCCCAATGGGCCCTCTTCATCCTCACCTGGGCTCAGAGCCTCTCGGGTCAGTCAGTGAGGAGAGGAGGAGGAGGCTTGTACCCAATACCCCCACCATGGGAACGTTTCTTGTCCCCATGGCAGTATTGGGTTGTGGGCTTCTCACACAGCCCTTTCCATAGCAAAGGAGAGACTGCCTGTGCCTGGAGTCCAGGATGACTTCTCTGACCCCATAATCTTGAACCTCGGCTGGGAGCAGGTACAGGGCCTATAGCAAGGTAGACAGAACACCCTCTGCCCACCAAGAGTTGGGGAATCCTAGGGAGCCGTGGGATCTGGTGGCTTGTAGCCCAGCCAAGTCCTGGCTCTTTCTGGGATCTGACTGACAGTAGGGTTCAGCTGGTCCCCTTCTGTTCTCCCCAATGTCAATGGAAGACCTGGAGGAGCAATCTTATCTGACTACGCCTGGCCCCAGGAACAGGGACAGAGAAGTTGGCCATTTAATTGTCTTTTTATTTTTCCTGTGAGGGGTCCGATGGCTAATGTCCACCTGTGAGGATGCCAGGTAAAGTCATGATCCTCCACTTTCTGCAGCAGGCTGGAGGTTGAAAAGTGAGCCCTTGACTACTAAGAAGGGTTAGAGGTACACAGTGAGCTAACCATGAATGTGCCTGGCTGAGCACACAGGCAACTTTGCACACTGCTTCCCACAGATCCTAGAGTTTGGAGAGGTTGATGATGGCCCTGCCAGGTGCCTCGGTCTGCCAGGGTGGGAGAGGTAATATGACAACCCCTCCATGTGCTTCCCTGCCCTGGAAGGCCTGGTATCCAGGGGTGAGATCCCAGCTTGGGTCTGCAGCAGCCTTAGGTAGGGACCAGTGGAGGTGAATGAGTGACTGAGGCTTCCACATCCTAAGGCAGCTGCACACCACCCCACTCCCTGCTATGACAACCTCCAGGCATCTGGTTCTGGGTGGGCAGGTGGTGACAGCTGCTAACAGCTGGCAGGAGACGGGGTAGGGCTTCTTTTGGGTTTCATTGTTAGGTCTGGCTGGGCCACAGCTCCCCTGAGAGCTGCAAGGGAGTTACAGTGAGCCCCAGGCAGCGGGATCTCTCTATCGAAGAAGTACCTCCCCGTGCCTCCAGCCTGGAGAGCCTCTGCTAATAGGTCCTAGAAGGGATATCATAATCATAGCTGCTACATTGGGGCCG